TAGAAAAACCCAAGTTCTTTAACGCCGGAATGCCCCCAAAGAGTACAGACAGCCCTCACACACACTTCTTGGCTGGATAAGTACACGTATGTATCTACACAATGTCATCATCAGTCGGGCCCTCTCTCTCTTGGCTACAAATGGCTCCACATACTCTCTCGTTACCAGAGTTTCTCTCCGCCTGCAGCAGAATGTTCCAACTGAGCACGCGACCCATGCACTGCGTTATAATAATAACCACCAAGAAAGGGTGCACAATCCTCCCAACCAGTGAGTAACAAGAGAAAACATCACATCATATCACATCAAAAAATAGTTATTGCACATCTAGCCGTCAAAAACAAGACACCGCTCCCCCGTCGTGGCCAACAGATAGCCGAAGAATAATGTTCTATGTAGGTACTCTACAGACACATCTATCTTCTGCGGGAACAACATTTCACGTTGGTGTATGAGAAGTCCACACGTCCTCCTTGCCCCGCAAGACAAGGGAGATGCAGCCCATCGACTATGTAGAGTACCCCTTCTTGCACTTTCCCCGGGCGGGGAAGGCGCTGTGCCGGGTCGAGGGGCACTCCGGAGTGGTTGCGGGAAGAAAGTGCACAGTATGAGCTGGTCTGGAGACGAGGAAGCGGGCGAGTAAGAACGGGGGGTTGAGGTGTACTTGAATCGATGAATCGATGAAGAGAGCCGCGTGGAAGAGCAGACTTCCCGCCGACCTGTCCGTCCCTGTTGGAATGCAATTGGGGCATCGGACATCATCTTGAATTGTTTTTCTCCGTCCCATCTGCGGGTTGAAGTTTTGGTGAAGTATCCAGTGAGTGGGTATTTGGAGAAAGATGCGGGTACCTATTCGGTCCCGCTACAGATCTGTTGCGGCTTCTAGCACGATCTCTAACATTATTCTACGTAGCCAAGGACTTTTGTACAAGGAAAAGAAATTAATATGTCTTAGACATTTATCAGCGCTTTGCTGGCTGTTAGTTGCGGCGAAGATCCACCACGAATGAGAGGCTATCCAACAACTATCCTGCGCACACCCCACCAGCTCTGGGCTCTGAAAAACTTTCCCCTCTACTCTAGATCTCTTAGCCTTAAGTGAGTAGTAAAGTACTTTCGAAGTTGAAGCAGGACTAATCATGAACCTCAAGATTGAGGCTAGCTAGCTAGGTCTTGCCTTCCCCACCTCGGGTCTACTCTCCCAGAATTCGGGAGGGTATCCTACTCTATCTCTTTAGTTCATATCTCAAACTCTAATCAGCTATAACATTCTTAAAATCTAGAACTCTCTCCTTGGATCATCACCTCAACACCACCCTTCCATCTTAAACCAAGCCCCGAATTGTATTGTGTGATGTTGGCAATTGGTTACTAGCCCTTTAATTTCCTTCTTCCGTACTTTGTGGGCGATTTAGGTTTTAGAAGCTCCCTTTTCTCTTCATTTGCCCCCTCACGGAACTGAGCTTCCTTTTTTGTTTTCCGAATAGACGATGAAGGTAGCCTCTGTCATTTTACGTGATATCGAACTGGCATACTAAGACTTTCGTTGTGCGCGTACTTACGAAGCACATGTACATGTAGGTACGGCAATTACACTGGAGAGAGGGAAAATTAAAGCGTGGGGTTGATCCCCCCGGACGAACCTTACACGTATATGTTCTTCACAGGATATCACTCACCTATAGGCCCGACCAGTCAAAATTGAGATATGAATATAAGCGGGCCGTGGGTTGAGCTCCCTCGCGCCGATCTGAAAACATGCCTGATATCCCCCAGATAGCTGTCGGGGCCCCCGGTAGACCGTTCGTCTTCGTGGGACAGCGGGCTGCTTCTGCTTAGTATAGGATGAGATCAAACATCCACAGCCCAGATTATCTGGTGTTCTCTGAAGCGTTGCGGGCTGGTGAAGTTTCGGGACCCGGTGAGTTACTAGAAGGCTGGCACCCGAAATCTTTGCGGTGGCGAGTCTCTGGGTGGTTTGGCTCTCTTCTTGTCATCGCCGGTAAGATCGTATATACAGACCATTTGCCTCAAGCAAGAGGAACAGACCTGAAGTGGCAAAGCTTTTTAATCATGGGGGCGCAAGGCACCCGCAAAAGTGCAATACCCAGCTTCATGCAGGTGCTGGTGCCCTAACCCTAACTTGATAACACCACTCTACTGGTCCGGCTATATGTGTAGGTATTACGGCCCAGTATGGGTGAGATTGGCTACTCGATTGTTTAGTTTCTAGCTATATTATTGGCGAGGCGTGATTTAAGGAGCCCATATCCGTATTTCTTTCTAGTCTTGGGTGAATCATGCATGGCCAATAACAGCAATCATCCAACCAATGAGCTGTCTACTCTATCGGGGTGGAGCAGTTGAATGTGTTTTTGAAGCCCGCTTCTTGCTGACGTTCCCGCTGGTCATTGGGTTGCGTTGGATAATATTGATGGGGTGATTTGTATCGATTTAAATTAGACCAGAGCAAATTTGGGGAGTTTGAGCGTGGCATGTGTTTTCGTGGTGGGATTTGGGGAAATATGGTTTTAGAAGGCGCTTATTTGCCTCTGGCTATCTTTAGTAGAATTTCCGAATGGGCTAGTCGTCGTGATCTACTATAGAGGTGTGTTCGCCGGCGTGCCTTAAATTATGCTCCGTATCAACTATACATACAATCATGTACCATCATGTACCTAAGATCTGCACTACCATCAAATAAATACGCCTAAGGTCACTCGTGGTTTCTGAGTCTTTATGAAGTACCAGCAGCTGGATAATGAAATGCTCCTACGAGTCAGAGTAGCTAGTTTATTCTTGGTTACTAGGCAGGAAGATATTGAGTTTTGTCTTTGTTAAAATTTGTCATGAGAGGCGAGAGGGATTCATGAGAGGCGAGAGGGATAAATGCTGATAACTGTTGCAAATTTTCTCTAGTGGTTTGTTTTAACTTTGGATTTATGACTGCACAGTCTACATAGAAGATCAAGAGGTCGAATCGAACTCATACTAGAGAATAACGAGTGATAATCTATAATCTTAGATCTTTTGATTAACTCATTAATTGTATGCATCATCCTAGATCGCGCTGTCCGTAGAATATTTGCCATTATCTAGACAATAGAGTAGCATACATGTAGTTTAAAGTGACTCCCCTTATAACATTATATTACTCGGCACGAAGCCCCCCAGATTCTGACCCTATCTTATGGGGCCTGGTGGCAGTCGTATGCCTTGAACGAAGGTTTCGAATTGGTTTCTAGTAGGTGTCTCCTCGCTCGTAAGGAGGGGCAGCTACGTAGCTACGCAACCTCATATTACTGATCTGATTATAATATTTGGAATATTGATATGTTATTTTGGGTTAGGGTTGTTGGTCCACATGGAGTAGCCAATCAGAGAGCGATATAAGCTACCTCCAATACCCTTCACTTTATTCAGGGCGTTCACTTCGTTCAGGACGTTCACTTCGTTCAGGGCATTCACTTCTTTCAGGGCAATGAATTGATATGAGTAATATTGTGAGAGCGGGAGACCTGAGGCGGGTAGCACCCTTATAATTACAGAGGGAGATGTTCAAAAGGTAATAAAAAGAAGCAGTTTACGCTCACCGAGTTTATATATTTGGATCATGTCCTCAGTCTTATAGCTTATACCCTTCTGATCAAGGTCAAGAAAGGGGCTAGACCGGATATCGTGGTTATTTGGCTGTAATTGGACTCTGGGAACAAGCGCTAGCATGTAGCAGGACAAAGTATTTGCTACGTAAATTATATATATACGCTGGCTTTGGATTATCAGGTGGAGTGGGCCAACGACGTGGTTATATAATTGAGGTTTCTTTTTGGGGGTGCGATATATCAGTGAGCTGTAGATCGATTTAGATATAGATCTAGATCGTGTTTGTACACAAGTAAATACTAATAAAAGGTGGCTACATGTAGTCTCGGGTGTTCAACCAGGAAAATTCTCGCCGTCCATGTGTCAATCCGTTGTACAGACATCAACGCGCAACTACACTCGGGTCCCCCAATATATATCTGGCTGAAGCTTAGCTTGGCGCATAGTCACTCACTCGGCCCGTTTCGAGATGCACTACCTGCTTATATATAGTCCGGAGAGCCGGACCGAATTCACCTGGACCGGAGATTTTCCAATGCACGATGATGGTTGCTTTCGTTTCACCTAGTATGCTTTGAGGCTTACATATATCTACGGTGTTTCCATCATCTATTTAAGGTCGGTTTACGCCTTATGGTAGTGGTGCACGTGGCATTAAATAAGGTTTTCTGATCGATGGAGTTAGTGAATGACTCGGTATCAGTGTTGGACCACCAGGAAACTCCACGAAGTCGTGAACATCACAACGAACATAGGGCACAAATCCATTCTCGAGACGGTAAAGGGCAAAAAGCCTAATACTGTGGAGAAAGACACCAACGGTGATCTATGGCCCGGCGTCTTGCGTATATTTATCTATTTAAGAGGTCAGAACCTCGAGCACTGTTACCAGGGTATCAACAACGGACAAATTGCAGAGAAAACCCTTCCCGAAAAGCAATATATACATATATATTGCATCTAGAAGCTCGCGGCACAGCTACAGTGCGGCTTTAACCAATAGACACTCTTATCATGGAATTATCCCATTCTAGCAAGCGAGGCCAGATGGAACGGTATGTCGATATTCTGTGTGGGGCATGGGTATAAAGTACCCACAGATGGGGAGATTCAATTTGACTATGGATAAGGTATTTTATGTACCCCTGAGGGCCAGGGTGGGGAGTGGGGCCTGACTTTAGGCGCAAGCGCGCAAGACCAAGTGGGGAAATATTAACCTTCAAATCTCATGCATGCTATCGAGAAATAGGGGAACGATTAGAATAAACTGGAGAATATGAGATTAGGGACGTCGACGTGTATTTCTGATAGGCATTCGATTGAGCAGTAGGAGACTTCACTCTGAGCTTTAATTCAGTTCAATTGATCAGTTGAATTCACATTCGACTTAGACAACTATGGGCATCAATGTGAACATACCATAGCTTCATTTGCATCGATATTGATGCTAAATACATGTACCTAGGTGTTTTACTTACTAGCTATAAGATGCTTGGTACGGATATGCGGGATATTCCAGCTAGCTACGCGCTAAAACAGCCGATCATTGACTTCATTCACTCAACAATCGTGCGACTCCATACGAAAAACAGTGTTTGATAGTCCACAATGGGATTGGAAAAGATATTATGTCTGCACTTACCAGGTTCAATACCTCAGGTAATCTCGTCCCCTCTCTGTGGCACGTAGTTAACGCGCTAAAGCTTGGGGCAATTCACAGATGTAAATCCATAATCCAGCTAACTGATAAATCCAGAGTTCAGGCTCTTATATACCCTAGTGGAGACGTATCCAAATCGGTACGTATACACGACAACAAATCCAAAATCTCCGCACGCCCCTGCTGAGAGAACATCGATTGTTCTTAGAAAAATCCCCGGTTCAACGTCAGCTTTAGGCACGAGTGCCAGCTACGATATGCGCGCAGGACAATATATTACGTTGTTTATATCTCTTGGGCCTAATAAGTTAGCTACATGGTTTGAACTAACTGCCTTTTGTCCGAGCTACATACTTTGCAGCTAGAGGAAGCACTTTACGAGGGGAAAACAGACCAAAAGATCCCGCAATTCCGGCAGGAAAGATAAATGGCTATGGAATTCTTGGAAGCAGGATTCACAGTATAAAATCAGCTGTATTTCCTGCGTCCAAAGAGATTCTGTACCCACCTACCTAGCACCGTCGTAGTAGTTGCAAAAATGGGAATCTTGAGAGTACTATCAACTTCAGCACTTGCCATTGGGGTCGCCCAGGCACTCGTAACAAAAGATGGAAAGACTGGAAGACTACCTGCCATGGGCTTCAACTCGTGGAACGCCTTCAAGTGCGATATCTCTGAAGAGGTCTTCCTCACTGCGGCAGAGGAGATCGTCAGGCTAGGGCTCAAAGATGCGGGCTACGAGTATGTCAACATTGATGGTATGATACCATCCATTTTTCTTGACTACGAGACAGCTCTCTGACCCTGCTATCTACAGACTGTTGGGCCGATCTAGATCTCTGGAGAGATAACTCCACCGGCAGGATTGTTCCTGACTACAAGAAGTTTCCAGATGGCATCAATGGCACTGCAGCCAAGGTCCACGAGATAGGGTTGAAGATAGGTATCTACTCGGATGCTGGAGAGAAGACCTGCGCCGGATATCCGGGTTCTCTTTATCATGAGGAGATCGATGCAGCAACATTCTCTGACTGGGGCATTGACTGTAAGTTCCACTACAAAAGCCTTGATAGTCTCATGAAGGGTCTAACCGAATAAATCCTATTATAGATTTGAAATACGACAATTGCTATGTTCCCGATAACTGGACCGATACTTACTATTGGGTAATTGATACTTATACCGGAATTCATGTTCATAGCACTTACATCTTTTAGGAAGCACCCTACTCAGATGCCCCAGCAGATTGGGATTGGAGCGCTACCAACACCGCCGAGCGTTACTACCGCATGAGGGACGCTCTAGCCAAGGTAGACCGTGTTATCAACTACGGTCTCTGCGACTGGGGTCAAGCTCTTGTTGAGACATGGGGTAATGCAACTGGCCAGAGCTGGAGACTGACTGGGTAAGACCTTCTTTTGCAAAAAGGGTTGAGGAGAATAAATACTGACAATCGTGTATAGTGATATTGGGCTGTACTGGAATATGCTTATGCCAATTGTGAGCTTTACGAGCTATAAGCTTGAATATGGCAACTTCTTTGGCCATAATGATATGGATATGTTGGAAGTTGGAAACGGAAACTTAACTGAGGTGATTTTTACCCCTCTGGTTTGCATCCATTATTTCTGACATTTCTTCACGTAGGCCGAGACAAGAGCTCATTTCGGGCTATGGGCTGCTATGAAATCCCCCTTGTTGATTGGAACTCCGGTAAGGCGATCTCTCATGTCTATGACTTAGTTGGATTCTAATAAGGTTCGGTATAGCTCGACTTGATTGGTGAGATAGATCTTGCAGTTCTTAAGAACTGGGAATTCATTCAGTTCAATCAAGACCCGGTATTTGGAGAGTCCGTGAAGCTCTTCAAATGGGGTAACGGTCAAGACCGCGGCTGGAAGTGGTAAGCTCTCTATTTCATTCGTCTTATTTTTCTTGTCATACTCACTCCTTGGTGCTAGGAACGAGACCATGCCAGCAGAATACTACGCCGGCCCTTCAGTCCGTGGCATCCACGTATTCATTCTTAATGTTCTCGACACCACACAGTTGAAGTCTTTCGACTTCAGCGAGGTCCCGGGATTAGATCCAAAGAAGAAGTACAAGGTGCATGATATGTGGACCCACAAGGACCTTCCAGGAACATACTCCAAGAAGTTTTCTATCAAGATTGAGAGCCACGACTTGGCGGGATTATTGTTTACAGAGGTGAAGAAGGGGAAGAGGAGTTTGTTTGATGGATGGTTTTAGATATGTCTAATGTTGTAGAGACGATGTTGATTATGATGTATAAATGAAATGTGGCCTCTGGTTCTCAGGCTCCGACCTGTATTATGAAATTTCGACCCTATCCTTCCCGTAAATTATCTTCTTTATTATTCGGAGGAATACCCTAGTGTTTATTCCATGTCCTCAAGAAAGTTGACTCCTGGAGAACGGTAGTGATTTCAATTCCAGTCTAGGTGGTTTAGGTGTAGAGTTGCGGACGTGGCTGATGTTTTAGGTACGCTATACAGACATCCGAGCCTGAGGTGGGCAATGTCCTTTACTTCAGGAGCTCCTGACTTTAGATTTCTGTTAGCACCATCTATACGCACATCACCTGCGCACTACATGCCACATCTGTCTTTTTTTTTCGCTGAATTATTTCATTGTTAGACCTTTTTCCACCGAGGTCTTTATAAAGGGTATCAACTTTGTAATTTGGGTAACTAGGGTAATTAGAAATTATTCAGATGTCAATCGACGGGCCCGACGGAGAATCAGGATATATTCTAACGAAGAGTATAGAAAGAGAAAGAGAGAAAATAGAGCCCAATAGACCACTTATCTAGGCCTCCGAGACGGTCATTGGGCGCAATAGGGGAAGGAGCAAAAGCAAGACGCTTCTTCAGAAGGCCTTTAGCAGTACTGGGGGAGAATCTCCTCTATAGTATCTCATGCCTCGAGATCAAGACACTACTCAATCCACCGTCCCTCTGCTCCACCCACCCCCACCGGCACACACATATCGGGTCCTCAATTGGCACCGGGAAAGCCATTCCCTGTATTATTGAACCTTCATCGCTGGTATAAATTGTTTTGGATAACTTGGTTCGAAGATTTATTACTTTGTATGGAAGCATCTGGTCAGGGCACTCAGCTATGAAAGCTCAGGGGAAAGCAGAATCGAGTGACAGGTTAAGAATCTGTAGCAGCTAAGACTCTAAGTGACTGAATATATGCAGGTAAGAACCACAAACCACAAAGCCTGATTCCGAAAACAATCTCATAATGTATGTAATAATATCAGCCAAGTACTCCATTCCCTCCTTTACACCATACAATATATACATTATTAATAAAACTGAAAACAAAAGAAAAATAGATGTGGCTAACGCATGTATGCCAAGAACCTCTACTCAAACAACTAAAACTACACCATACTTGTCATAGCCCGTATCCTCGCCCGCGGTCCCCCAGGCGACGGAGATTTCATAGGCGGAGGAGCGTACTTATCGTCAAGAGTCAAACCAAGAGCCCCATGCGGCAGCTCTGCAAACTTGATCTTGACGTTCTGCACACTTACCTCATCCGGATACTTGTCAGCCTGGGGAGTCGTTCGGCCACCCAGGTCAAGACCACCCTGACTACTAGCAACCAGCAGACTGGTAGTGCTGGTTGGGTTGAATTCGTATAACTCGCCGCCCACACGCAACCCGTACCACAGGTACGTGAAAGCCATGATAACCACACAGATCAAGGGCACGAGTGCATACAGTGCTACGATTGCGCCATTGTAGCCCATACGGTAATGCGATAGATCCCCGGTGATATTTCTCTCTCCTGGTGCATGACTCGCCGAGTAGTACAACCGCAGAGAAGTCATCTCTATCTCGTAGAAACCTTTAATGAGGCTCTCGAGACTTTCCCCCATAGTCTGCCTCTTGTCATCACCCGTTTGGTGACGGAGCGAGAGAATGCTGTCTGCAATCATGTTTCCGCCGATAGAAATGCCGTACCAGAATACTTGGAAGATGGCATCGAGGGCTTCAGAGTCGGTAGGCGACATGTTGGGTGTATCCAATGTTTCGACAATGCGAGACGTGAAGTCATTAGTGACACTAGAGTACGTTACGTTATTGATTGTAACGCGGGGTTCAACTCGGCAAGTGATATTCTGGAACTTCTTATAATCATCGGTTTCGTAGACCCCAAAGGGGCGAAAAAATATGTAGTAGCCAGGCCCATTTGCGGATAAACTGGGACACATAATAGTCATAACGTTTCCGGCAGCTGGGACCATGAGTTCGAAGTTATAGTCGTATTGACACCTTATACCCCTTGTTAGAATGATTCCATGTACAAATAGAAAAAGGGATATCTAAAACCTACCTGCCATAACTATAAGTATGGTTGAAATCATATCTGGTGTGTGTATAATTACGAATACTACCCGGGTTGATATCTGGGCCCGAGGTAATCTTTGTTGGTATGGTATTTATTATGACTTGAGATATCGGCGACGTATTGTTCTGCTCGCAGGTAACATCCACAGTGGATCCTTGGAGTAGCATGGAGTAGTTGTAAGTAGGTGGGAATGGCTTTTCATCCAGGAAGTAATCGATGTCATCAAAAGCCCTGAACCCGTTTCTTCCGACAGGGAGCGTTCCACCCGTTGTTCCGTTGAAATTTACATCTCCGATCTTTGTAATGGATTTTAGGCCAAGGCCCTGCTCCACAGCTGCACGCCCGGCTTGAAGAGCCATAGAAGTATCGTCCCTCTAAGTTCAATCAGTAAGTGAGTCACTAGTACCTACTCATCATATGCATGCAATACTCACATAAGGACATGTCGAGAACATATAGCTCGCACCCGTCTGATTATTTGTATACGGCCACCAGGTACAGCCTATAACAGTCCTGTTGGTAGAATCGAAATACTAAACACACATATCAAACTTCTGTTAGCGAGAAGACCCTCATTACGGATACACTACGGGTCCTCGACTCACCCAGTCCCAAAAGGTTGACTTCGTCATATCAAGTTCTGTCCCAGATAGCGGGTTCATCTTGATCAGCGATATCGGGGTCAACAGACCCGCAAAACCCACTGTGAGGGCAGCCGTCACCAGTGCCGAAAGTACGGTATACAGCGACAACCAAGGGCGGCGCTTGTCGAACATTGTACCCTGATTTGATAGCTTCACCCAACCTTTTACATCCCAACATGTCAGTCCAACCATTACGAAGTGCAGAGGGGGTATTCTCACTTTCAATAGTGGAGATCTTGGCTCCCTTGATGATGAGTTTCCGGGCCATCAAACTGATGGTACATGCGTATACCCATACCGTGAGCCATGCAATTATCGACGCAATGGCAGTCCACAAAATGGTGTTTGTTTTTGGGTTCGCAAACATCCATTTTGTATCCTTGAGCGAGAAGAAAATTGGCTTCTTCCGTCCCTGAATCCAGAAACCCAAACTTCCAAAGAATATCGACAGCAAGATGAAGCCATAAATTACGAACGGTGTGATCGCAGGTCTGTTTATCGTTCTGACTTTCCTATATTCGAACCCCGACTATTAGTTCTCATCATCCAGAAAAGTTACATAGGTAAACTGAGGAAAGATTCTTACCGAGGACCCACGAGCTCATCATGCGAATTCTTACCCCCAAAACCTTCCGGGTCCAACTCTGAAGCCGTCTGAACTCCGGCTGCTTTGTGAGCATCACTATCGCTGACGTGTGCAATCTCGTTCTGCATAACTGGATTATACTTATCACGCTGCATGCCGAAAATCGAAAGCGAAAAAAGATTTTGGGAAGGGCGGGGGATGTAGACAATTTATGAAAGTATTTTCATGGCCTGTTTGAGGGATCTACGTTTATGACGGCGGGAGCGATTGGTATAAATACGTGTGTAGCTGTACGGCGCAACCTAGCATGGGTACATGGGTAGGGCTTGGTAATAAGCACTTGACTTGCATGCCGGCGATGATAATCAACCTTAGCAACGAAGCATATTACTTGTGCCTTTACTCTAGAGGTGGACTTATTTGACGGGGAATCTCAGTGATGTACCTACATGGTTTGGTTTCAACGGAACAGCAATCGATACACATCTCGATCACTTGGTTTTCGTTTACAATTAAAGTAAAAGTTTAACAGAGAGAACCATTACTATTCTTCTTAATTTAAAGAAACGGGAGAGAGGCTGTGATTGTTGTCATGTGGTGGGGGTAAGGTAAGAAGAAGAGGAGTAAGTGCACCGCCGCCTTGGCTCTGCTCAGATCTGGTAAGCGTGATAGAGCTGAGACTGTTGCAAAATTTAATTGTCTTGGCAGGTGTTCGATAATCTGTTTACGCCGCACGACCAGGTCAAATGGGTAATGTAGAGCAGAGAGAATGTAGAGTGTACCGCATGCATGTTCAGCCCCAGACAGGGTTGTATTTATGGCAGCTCGTAAAACCAAGCTAGGCCCTTAATTCCCTAACTCGATTCAATCGGAGGCTCTGCTGGATATTAATTGAAGCTCGAAATTATTGTTCTACTAGTCTAGGAAATAGCTAGCTCTGCTCTAAACCAGCGGGAGCTAAGCCCTATACACGTCGACGACCCTGTTAAGAATAACATCTCAGAGAGGCAAATCAGCAACGTCTTCCATAACTCTAGACAGTGTGTGATCGACCTTCCGTTTAACCGTTATCAAATACTACCGAAAAACCCACCCGATTACTGCTACAGTCGCAACTCGATATGCCGGAACTCAATGCACCGAATCCCTTGCGGTCCCGTACGAGATCCTCTAAAAATCTTGTTTTTCCTACTGCAGTTGCGACTGTACTCCTGCCCTGCCCAGGTCGCAGTCCTGCTCCAATCTTAAAGGGCTGTACAGTCGGCTCAATCCCGAAAAGTCACTCCTTAAAGGGCTCATCAGAAGTTGCGGGAAAAAAACACCGCTGTCAAATGATCCATGTTTACAGATGTGCTTTTACGATCGCAGTACCCGTGGTCGCGATATTAGGCTAGCTTTCCTAACCTCTCCCTCGGTTGGAGATATCATACTATTTAGACTTTGACTACATGTACTTGCAGTACTAAAATCATTTAGTGACACAAACTTTACATAATCTCGCCTGCTCCAGGTCCTCGGATCCAGTCTTTACTGGTGGTGTTTTTTCTGGAGATATGGGAGTCACTCAGAATCCGCATCCCTCCGCGATGCATGTCAACCTTGTAGGAAAAAATAAATAAAAATAAAGCTCCTGTCTTATCCGCACAGCTTGAAATGCCAAAAGCTTAATCCTAATTACACGTGGGTGCTACGCCCCAGACTAGCAGTGCAATTCGGGAAAACAGCTCCTTTAAGATAAATCTGATATATGCACAGGACGGCCTAATTCACAGAAGTCAAGGGATAAATGGTCTGCGTAGAGTACAGACATGTATATGGCGTACATGTAGTTACATGTAGAGTACCGTAAACCTACAACACGCCCAGGCAGTGTTGCCAATCCGCAAAATTTATATGTATCTTTGCCTCCTCCCTTTCCCTGCATTTCCCAGAGATACGAGTATGTGTCACAAGGCCGTTTATGGCCGGTTGTAATTGTCCTAGCTCATTAAATTACTAAGGCTGATGCAGCTTAGTAAATATGCACTAGCCAACTGGTCGAACCACATGTAGGCAAGGCAAAGGTATCACTTCAGACACGCAAGAGAGGTAGGGCTGAGGTTGAGCTGCTCTCATCCCCTGTGTCCTTGTGAAGTGGGATGTGATTGATCCTACAAATATCGACCTCTGGGGTCCTATTGGTAACCAGCGATACCAACCCGAAGGTTGTGACCAGACCAGATCGGAGCAATCAGGATTCCGCTTGGCAGATCTTTCCATAAATGGCGATCGAATACCTTCCCCTTGGCCAGTGCACTGAAACGAGAAATCCCAAACAAGCATCCTCCCGCTCTCCCCTAGGAGACAAGTGTTCCCGAAAAAAGAGTTGTTACGGCCGGTACTGACTGCTCAGGCTATATGTATCCACTCTGTCTGACTGTCTGACGGCTACCATCAACTATTAACATGCATGTGTGCGTGCAGTCCACTGATCAAACCACCAGGACTCAGGTGCTAGGCCAACAGGAAAACTCGGCTCTATTAAAGCATTAAATCACTTCGGCTCGCACGTATACTAGCAGGTACCGTCTATCTAGTGGAAGGGTCTTTAAGTGTGAATCTAGGCTTGGCTTTGGCAAGAAATCCACTCTCCTAAACCTTGATCTCTGCTCAAAAAGCGATGATAACAAGGAAACTCAAGATCTGGGTCCCTCTCAATACCCCAAAAGACCGCAGTCCTGTTGTTACCGTAATACAGAGGGTGTCTGTGAATTGTCGTACAGCAACTGTACTCCTAGAACTCTAGATAGAGTTCCTAGGAGATACGGCATAATGCATGAGCCGGCTAGACATTTGGATCAGAGTCAGAACGCCCAGAATAAAGTTCCTAACGTACCGAAGACACGCTTAGAAATACATTGTTTCTTCCACCAGACTGGATTATTATGCGTACGTGACGCCAATGCATCTAGTGGGGCTCAATTACTTCACTTCGAAAAACCTGCCTCGAAAAGTGCTTTATCTGATGAGATGGTGGGTTATTACTATGGATGAACTGACGTACACTGATTACTCTACATATCCCTTCAACAAGACCATCGGAGACGTGGTAAACTCCATTGGGCGCGATAAAAATGACTAACATTCCACGCCAAGTGTAGGTATACGCATACCTACTTGGTACTCTATCATGTAGGGTAAGCAGAGGACTTCCCGGTGAGACATGGCTGGGCAAGGAGCCTAAGGCGGAAAAATACCTGCTTCGAACTAAACTGCCCTTCGGTATTTTTAAGTTGCTGTAAGCTCTTGGAAATTTTTAACTGGGTCCAATCGGAATATTTTCTATCACCGCCCAGTCACAGGTTATCACTCTGTTTCAACAAGTTGTCACTGCTATATATAAGAGTGTGTGCAGGTTCCGTCAGTAATCAAAGGCATAGAGAATATAACCCTATACAGGTTGAGATTTTCACTAAACCGTTTCATTACCGCATAGATTTGCACTCCTGGCGACGCCGAAAACTCCTTGAGCCTCATGACTTGTTGTGGTAAGATTAGTCTTATATATCTCATCATTGGGATTAGGCTACAAAACGCAAACCATGAAACTCGAGACGAGACTGACTGGAATTCTTGGGCCGGGGACACCCTAAGAGACCGCAAGGTAGAAAAGTAACGTCACCAGCTATACGTATGGTCTTTGTTCGGGGAAGGGGGGTAGTTGTGTCTCAATGAAATCGTACGTAGTGGAGAATGGAGACCAGCTTCACTCGATCGCCTTGTATGACAACTACACGTGAGACCCATTAGCTGCGGGAGCATTATCCCAGGGACGTGATAGCTGGCGGCAACAGGGGTGATCGTCCCATTTTCTCGGTATTTGATTTTCCGGCTTTATACTCATCGATTTGCTAGCAAGGCGTTATGTTTGTTGAACGATCCATACCAAAAGAAAGGCATGAAACCGTATTACTTGTTTCTATCTTTGCTTCTAGGTGATTCCACGAGCATATACTTGATATTTTGCGTAGAAAGAGATGCCCCTGGCAGCTGAAGATTAAAGTGATCAGATCTCGAAAGCAGGCTTGAGTCTCATCAAGCGTTATATCACTAGAAATTTGTAGTTTAATCAGATGTAGCTCTCTATCTACAGTATTTATATCTTTGCTTTTTCAATAAAGGTTCGCTGTCTGGCCTGTAATTGCCTAGCAGTTCGCTGCTGGTTCATAACCGCTCACTCGATTCTGACTGGAGCGTGTCTGGGAAAGATATCATATTCAATGAATTAATTCGAAAGGTAAAGACTCATACAAAGACCAAGAAACAGTCAAGATTCAAGATTCGATGAACTCTATAGCAATAGGAAGGTAACGTCAAACCGAGTGATACCTCATGATCAAACACAAATCTCTTTTTTTTAGAACAATGACAATGCATTGCAGCTTGCTGAAATATTTGTGTAAGTGCTTGAGATTGTATGAAAAAAAAAGACCCATGGTCGATAGCCACTGATTCCCTCCAGCGGTGGCAGTTACGGCCCAGTTAGGTGTCGTTTTGGTTGATTGATTGTTTATTGGGTACATGTAGCCTTAAACCGATCAGGTGCCGATTAGCTGCGTTAAGCCATCACACCGACATAACTTCAGCTTTGCCTGGCGAATCAGGCATGATGCTGACCTCGCTGCTCCGCACCACTGTCATTCACTGTGGCGGAACAGTGATACAAACCCAAAATACTGTCGCTAGACAAGGCAAAGTTGCAAAGGAGGAAAGCTGCCTAGTCTCGTGGGAAGCACCGACCAGTCTTCAGTGCTTCATGGGATGCACGTTCTGTTTGGTTCCCGGTTGCTGTTGCGTGCATGCAGCTCTGGACTTTAAAAATAGAGATTGGGCGTTGGGAGGCCTTATCCAGGGTGAAGGCAGCGTCGATATGTGATCTGGAAATCGATTAATTCTCTCATTCAAAGACAAGTGCGGACTTTGGTTTAGAATTGAAGGCGTGGGACAATGGGTCTCAAAGCCGGACCAGCAGGAGGAGTACGGGAACTGCACTTCTCCGGAGTTTGGTTCTACCCTTACGCTTTTACTTTCGGCCGTTGAGTTGAGAAATGGTTATCTTAGTGAAATATTATTATATCACCCTCCCTGGGGGGCGGCGGTTAGATTCTTCCAGAAA